TGAACAGTGAGGTTATCTTCGGGAGAAGTTTAGATCGAATTTCGGTCTATTAGTTACGCAACCGTTCGTTTCCGGTTCCGATAGCGAACCGTTTTCTTTGTTTACACGCTCTACCACTTGAGTGCGCCACCGCGCGCTCTACCGCTACACTCTATATACCGATTGCTACCGATTATTACCGCAACCAGTGTTGGAAAGAAATTTCCAGCATAACAAATATAATACAGTATAATTAATAAATATAAATTTATAAAAATTGTAAATTTTTTATATTTTTATAAATGGTTATTTGCAAAGTTTGTGGAAATAAGGCACTAGGTTTATAATTAATGTTTATAATTTATTAAATTAATTATGTAATTTATAAATGACCAGGCAGAAATTACTTGGTGTATTCGTGCAATTCTTGTCGGGCATTCTTTAGGAGATATGCGTTTAGGAATAAGGTAAAAATAATTATATTTCTATAATAATTAATTAATATATTAAAGCTATTCTCATTTTCAGGAATTATATTGTCTATCAAATGGCAAATGTATTATAGACTCAAAAACCAAGCATTTATGCAAAGAATGTAGACTTGAAAAGTGTTTGGCTGTGGGAATGAAAAAGGTATGCAATTAATAACAATTAAGTTATGGTTAATTGTGTAGTAATAATATGTTTATTGTATTTTATATAGGAATTGATACGAAGTGATGACGAAAACCAATTGAAACGACTTCTGCTCTTAGAGAGGAAGAAAAGCGATAAATCTATGTTTCAAAAGACATATTCTTCCGGATGTGATTCAACTGAGAATTTCGTTGTGTCCGCCGAAGACACCAATGAATTGGATGTTATGTTTGATTTGATTCAAAACACACATGAAATCAATGCCGAAGAGTTAAACAAACAAATACAGGAAATTGAAAACGTGTTGACAATCGGAAACAATACACATATTGACGAGTTTTGTCACAAATACGGGGCACTGACTGTCGTTCCCATATTTAAATCACTCACAGATTATAACGGCTTAAATCAATTGGAAACCAGTCGAGTATCGGAGTTATTGATGGCGTGTAAAGTATTAGATTATCCGACGGCTAAGAATGTGGTAAAAATCACAGACAAATCAGAAATGATGAGACTGTCGTCAATCAGGTCTGAGTATCAGATCCAGGATTTGATCGCTTTCTCCAAAGGGTTGACCGGGTTTTCAGACTTGTGTTCAACCGATCGGTTGACGCTTTTTAAGTACGGATCCGTTGAATTGATGCAAATCGTGAATTCAAAGGAATATGACATTCAAACAAACAGTTTAACCGTTTATTTGGTATTTAAAACATTTGTATAAATTTCATAAATGTGTTATATAATAATTGAACAAGTAACTTATCTTATTTTGTTTGCATTGTTTACAGGACAGCAACAGCTCTATTGTTATAAAGTTTGATGATTTTTGTTTTAACAATTTCAATTTTTTACAAATTATGAAGGGTTTTATTTCTAAATTGCACCGCGAATTGAAAAGTGACCATGTTGTAAATAATCTGGTATTTATTTTTATTTTTATTCTTTAATTAAGCTAAAGTATACTAATTAAAATTTTAATACTTGGAAATTTTAATTTATTGTAAAGTTTACGGCAATAATACTATTCAATCCCAATCGACCAAATCTGACTCATAAACATAACATAGCGTAAGATTGTTATAATTATAATTTCGTTATAAATTTAAACAATTTATTGTTTTAACTATATTTAACATTAGACTCGAACAACAACTGTATATATATTTACTGCAAAGATATCTACTATTGAAATATCGCTCGGAATGGGAATCACAGACAAGACTACAAACACTAATGAATTTAGTAAAAGAAATAATATTTATGAGAGAATTGAATATAACGTACGGATTAGACGAATACAAAGGGTATACCAATACTATGGGACCACTTGTCAAAGAAATGTATGATATAAATGAAAATATATCATAAATAACTGTTTGCTTATAAAAATTAATAAAACATAAAATAATTTATTTAAATGTATCAAATATTATTTATAATAAGATATGAAATAAACTAAATAAAGGTAATTGTAATTATAATCTGTATATTAGAATCTATGTAATAGATGTGTGTTTAGTCTGTATACAGTATAATAACTGATTATTTTATATAACTTAGTTACTGAATAATTTGTCCTTCACATGAAATTATCAATAAAAATGTCAACAATTAAGTTAAAAGACAATTTGAAAATACACTACAATAAGTAAAATACATGTAAAGTAAAATATATTAGTTATATATTGTCCCATCATAATAAAGTTGTGATTTAACAGTAAGTTAACGATAAATTAACATGTTTAGACATTTCATATAATAAACAAAGCCATCATTTTTACAATTATTTTAAAATAAATATAATGTTTCGTAAATATAAAGTGTAATTTTTGGTTATTTTTGAATAATGGTTATGTGCGAAGTTTGTCATAATAAAGCGATAGGTTTGTATTACTTGTTTATTATTTGTTTATCATTAATTACTAAATTATGTCATTAATAAGTAACCAGGCAGAAATTTCTCTGCGTTGACGTGTGATTCTTGTCGTGCATTCTTCAGAAGATATGCGCTTAAAAATGAGGTAAAAATAATTATTTTAAAAAATAGTGAAAACATTAATAAATATACTAAAACTATTATCATTACAGCCATTATACTGTCCATCAAATGGCAATTGTTTTATAGTTTCAAAATCAGGACATTTATGCAAAAAATGTAGACTTGAAAAGTGTTTGGCTGTGGGAATGAAAAAGGTATTAATTGCTAACAATTAAGTGATTGTATAGTAAATCATATGTTAATTGTATAGGAATTGATACGAAGTAATGATGAAAACCAATTGAGACGACTTCAGCTCTTGGAGAGGAAGCAAAGACTAAAATTGTTGCCACAAAACATCGATTCTTCCGGATCTGAGACGATAGACAACTTATTGTCCGCCAAAGACACCAATGAATTGGATGTTATGTTTGATTTGATTCAAAATACACTGGAAATTACTAACGAAGAGCTGAACAAACAAATCACCGAAATTGAAAATAAGTTAACAATTACGACGAAAAAGAATTCATCAATTAATCAGATTTGTCACAAATACGGGGCACTGACTGTCGTTCCCATATTTCAAACACTCACTGATTATAACGGCTTAAATCAATTGGAAACCCGTCGGGTATCGGAACTATTGATGGCGTGTAAAGTATTGGATTATCCAATGGCTAGAAATTCGGTGCAAATCACAGACAAACTCGAGATGATTAGACTGTCGACACTCAGGTCTGAGAACCAAATCCAGGATTTGATCACTTTTTCCAAAGGATTGACCGCTTTCTCTGACCTGTGTTTTACCGATCAGTTGGCGCTCATTAAGTACGGGTCACTTGAATTAATGCAAATCGGTTTCTCAATGGGTTATGACATTCAAAATGAAAGTTTTACTATTTATTTGGTATGAAAAATATTTGTTTAAATAAGTAAATTTATTATAAACATTTATATAAACATTTTGTTGATGTGGTTTACAGGACAGCGACAACTCTATTGTTATAAAATTTGATGATTTTATTTTCAATAATCACACTTTTTTACAAATGATGAAAAGTTTTGTTTATAAATTGTTCCACGAATTGAAAAGTGATCATGTTGTAAATAATCTGGTATTTATTGTTTATAATTATAATAAATTTATAATAGTACTTGTTAATTAATTATTAAAAGTATTTTTAATTTTACAGTTTACGGCAATAATACTATTCAATCCTAATCGACCAAATCTAACTCATAGGCATAACGTGGGGTAATTTTATTATAAATTATCAGTTATAATTATTATAACTTATACAGTAGTTACAAAATATAAATAATCTGTTTATTTTATTGTTTGTTATTAGACTCGAACAACAACTGTATATATATTTACTGCAAAGATATCTACTATTGAAATATCAATCGGAATCGGAATCACAGACAAGACTACAAACACTAATGAATTTAGTGAATGAGACTATAATTATGAGAGAATTCAATGTAAAGTTAGGATTAGAGGAATACAAAGATTATACTAATTATTTCGGACCACTTGTCAAAGAGATGTATGATATAAATGAGAAATAAATTATTTCAAATAACTGTTTATGTATGAACTTGTTCAAAGAATAACAATAAATATCTATAATCATATGCAAACAAATACATGTATATATGAATTACAATCTAAAAAAATAATTATTGTAATGAAATAAATTGAATTCATAAAACATTAAAATTCATTGACTTGTCCTTCAAATGAGATTTTCAATACTAATGACAATAATTAAATTTGAAGGACATTTTGAAAGTACAAATGAGCTAAATACAATATATTGTCAATAATAACAATGTTGTGATTTAACTTAATGGCAATAAGTCTACATTTTTAGGTATTTATGGTTGAGTTTTACATTAAACAGAATCCCAATGTATTTAAATGATTATAATATAAATGAATCAATTTTATAAAAATAATTTGTAAAGTAATTTAAGGTAAAGTAAATAAAAGTAATTTTGTAAAAATGATTATTTGCAAAGTTTGTGGAAATAAAGCAAAAGGTTTGTAATAATTATATTTTATTTACTAAATAATTAATTATTTATTTATTAATAACCAGGTAGAAATTTCTTTGTGTTTACTTGTGATTCTTGTCGAGCATTCTTCAGGAGATATGCGCTTAAAAATGAGGTAAAAATAATTAAAACAAAAATTAGTAAAATATTAACAATATTAAAACTATTGTCATTGACAGACACTATACTGTCCATCAAATGGCAACTGTAGTATAAAGTCTGTAGATTCAGATACAAGACATTTATGCAAAAAATGTAGACTTGAAAAGTGTTTGGCTGTGGGAATGAAAACGGTATAAATTGCTGATAATTTGAACGTTAATTTGATTGTCTTATAAATAATGTATTAATTGTATAGCAATTGATACGAAGTGATGACGAAAACCAATTGAAACGACTTCTGCTCTTAGAGACGAAAAGTAGACAAAAATCGTTGTCACAAAACACAGATTCTTCCGGTTCTGATACAACTCGGTGTCCGGCGAAGACACCAATGAATTGGATGTTATGTTTGATTTGATTCAAAATACACTGGAAATCACTGACGAAGAGCTGAACAAACAAATCGCCGAAATTGAAAATGGGTTAACAATTACGGCGAAAAACAATTCAGCAATTAATCAGATTTGTCACAAATACGAGACACTGACTATCGTTCCCATATTTAAATCACTCACCGATTATAACGGCTTAAATCAATTGGAAACCAGTCGGGTATCGGAACTATTGATGGCGTGTAAAGTATTGGATTATCCGATGTCTAGAAATGTGGTTAAAGTGAAAGACATGGCAGAGATAGCGAAAGTATCGGCGCTTAGATCCGAGTTTCATATCCAGGATTTGATCACTTTTTCCAAAGGGTTGACCGCTTTCTCTGACCTGTGTTTTACCGATCAGTTTGCGCTCATTAAGTACGGGTCACTTGAATTAATGCAAATCGGTTTCTCAAAGGACTATGACATTCAAAATGATAGTTTTACTGCTTATTTGGTATTTATAATTACTAAAGCTGCTCAGAATATGTTTTTAAATATATTTATTGGTTAAGGATATATGTTTAGAACTTTGGGGGCAAACGAATTACATAATAAGGGTCATTTTAACAAAGTTTTATTTTACATATAAATACATATTTGACTTTTAAATAAATATAAATAAATATTTGGTCATAAACCATAAAAATCATTAATTTACTGAAAATTCATGGCTTAAAATGTCTAAATATATATTAAATGGCAAAATAATTTCTAAAAGTTTGTTAATAATGAAATAAGACAATAATAAATACTTGTATGACATTATATAATAAAGGTTTATGATCTAATTCTTGGCATATTGTATCACAACTGGATTTAATTAAATTACACAAATCATTTAAATATGATAGAGTAGATGAGTTAGTGTTGGCAGTCATGTTGAGCACACATAATAGATATGGTGGATATTCCTGATATTCCTGATATTTCCTGTCTGTCTATTGTCTGATGAGTAAAGCTGCTCAGAATATGTTTTTAAATATATTTATTGGTTAAGGATATATGTTTAAAACTTTGGGGGCAAACGAATTACATAATAAGGGTCATTTTAACAAAGTTTTATTTTACATATAAATACATATTTGACTTTTAAATAAATATTTGGTCATAAACCATAAAAATCATTAATTTACTGAAAATTCATGGCTTAAAATGTCTAAATATATATTAAATGGCAAAATAATTTCTAAAAGTTTGTTAATAATGAAATAAGACAATAATAAATACTTGTATGACATTATATAATACAGAATGATGGGCTAGTATATCATTAGTTTGACTTGGAAACAATTGATATTATTTAAATTTATATTATAACTTTAAATAACATTATTTAAACAGGATTTAAAAGGTTACCGAAAATTCTAGCATAATATTTTGTTATTTTGTCCATAGAATACATTAATTAGAATTTATATAGAATATTGGGATTTATAATATTATAACTTTAAATAACATTATTTAAACAGGATTTAAAAGGTTACCGAAAATTCTAGCATAATATTTTGTTATTTTGTCCATAGAATACATTAATTAGAATTTATATAGAATATTGAGATTTATAAATAAATATTTAAGTAAATATTTGACCCCTTTTTAGTAAATATTATATAACATATTTGGCCAAGAATAAATACATATTCTGATCAGCTTTACTGATTATACACCCCTTATCTTATCTAAAAATTTTGTTATGAAAGTATTTAATTAATTTATTACTTATAATGAACGCAACAAAATTACTGTAGTCACATTTTAAGTATGTTTTTAATTTTTTGTTAATTATATTTTATGAATTAATTGTTCTGTTAAGGAGCGAAGACATCACCCGCTGGATCCGATGAACTGCCCTCTTATTAACCAACAGTTCCCATAGATTTAGCGTTTGTTTTAGTGTCAAATTACAAACACATAAAAACTTCAATTATAGCTATTCTTATAAATTACTTCATTTTGTATAACATTTTCTTTAATCGCTTTTTAAGCTTAAAAATACATTTATTTGACATTTTTATGTGTTTTATAATCCGTGTAATCGTTTCAAATAATTTCATTACTTTTTTTTCACTTCATTTAGTATTTTAGCGATTATTGTTTGGAAGAGAGTCGAGGACTTGGGCTAAGAGGCGAATGAAAGCCTTCATATGGTTAGCGAAGAGTAAGATTCTGAACATTCAGTCCATACGAGTCATAGCGTAGAGTCGATATCAGCCGTGGGCTCAGATCTGCGGCTCTCTTCCCATCAATTCTCGCTTTTATTAAACATTTTTGTATTTTTTTTGACTGAATTCGCGAATAATTTGATGAATAAAAGTTCATTTCGATCACAAAATAGTGTTTTTATTGCGTGAGAGTGAGGAGAGAAAGCGAGTCATACCATCTGTAGCTACAATCACCCCAACATCACCAGTAGCTGATCCGCTACACCCCCACACCCTAACAGTTCATTTGTGGATCCAATACATGCAAGTAATTCACATCTCGGCATTTATTATCTGTCTATTCAACAAATTTTTACTAATATTTATAACACCTTAAGTCCAGTATTTTCTAATTCGCTGAACTCCTATTTATTATTAATAATTCATTATGTTTTTAAATAAAATAAATACCATTTAAAAAACTAATTTTAAATTTTGCAATTAAACACGTGTACTTGTAATATGGATACTGGTAAATCTATTTTTATAATAAACGTTCTTCTAAATATAAAATAACTTATTATTAATACGTTATAGCATAATCTTGATCATAGATGTAAACTTAAGGTCAAATTTCATTGTTTTCGATAAACTGTTTCTTGAGTTTGTGATAATTTTTATACCAATTTTCGGTGCCGTTCTGTCAGTCAAATCAAACATTACATTACATTCACAGACAAAACACATCATTAATTATATGCAAACCATTGATATCTTCTTATCAAACGGCAAATTAGACTTCCATTCATTGAACGACAAATAATATAAGGCGTAAAACAGATACGAAACTAACGTAAAAACTTTGATCTCTCGTAACAGACTTTGGACTGAATTTCTCGGGTCTGTCGACCACTGAATGCCATTTAATTTGATTGACTCCCGGATGTAGGCGTCGACGAGTGGCCGAATGGACGGGTCGTCGGGAAACACGTGTGGTTTCCGTAATTCGTCGGCATTTCTGCCCCACCAGAGGAAAAATGTGCCGAAATCGTAGCCCCGGTAACCGATACACGAGTACTCGTAATCGCACACAACTATACCATCGGTTTCGGTGACCATTATATTGGATGCGCTCATATCGTTGTGCGCGAAAGTGATGTCAAAGTCACTCTCTTCGGTCACCAAACGCTCAATCCATTGCATCTCACGATATATGACGTGCGCTTTCAGTGTCTCTAAATTGTATTCATTAAACATTGAGTTTAAGTCAAACCTATCTTTTGCTAAGTTGTAAAAGTGGTCGCAATAGCGAAATATCCATTTCGGGTTGCGTTTAATGGGCACTTCCAGGCAGTGTATGGCAGCTAAGATTTTGGCCAACTTGTCCACCAATTCAACATTATCTTTGTCGTCGTACGACCACTTCTTCTGCTGTATAATTATTCAGTTAATAAGTTATAATATAAGTTGCATTTACTTTAAGATCAAAATATAAATGTTTAAAATACTCGATAATATTTCATGATTTGTCCGCTTTGGAAGAGTCCGTATATTTTTGGTCCCAAATGCCTATCGGAAGTGATTTGTGCGATAATAGTATCGCTGAGTCTCTCGTTTTCTTCGTCACCGGAATTATTGAAATATTTATTTTGATATAATTTTATTGTCACTTCTTGTGGTTCATCGCCGACACCGACCGACCGTCGCGTGTCTTCATTAAGACCGCAATAGTATAACTGATTAGTGAAACCACCGCTTATTATCTTTATGTCGATGTCATCAGTGGTTAACTTAAGCCAAACGCCGCCCAAATAGTCGGCACATAAACGAAGGCATTTCTCATTGATATCGGCCGGTGTTATACCTCTTTGCCATACATTGCTATCCATTTCAGTTTATACAAGCTATTTAGTGATACTGTATATAACTTTTGCTGTATTGTTAAGGAATGAGTAAATAAGGTAAATGTTAGCAATAATTTATAGCAATTATTTACATACCATTGGATGCATATACAGGTACTTTTGCAAACGATTTTCATACGAATTTACTGTATATCTCTAAAATGATTAAACAACTTCTATAACACATGTATAATATTTATACATACTATTATCTTAATAACTTTAAACGATAATTACTTTAAATGATTGATTTGTTAAATATTATACAACAAAACACATGTTATATCATAGAATAAATGGGGAGTTTATGAAAGTTTAGATGCACCAACAAGGTCAATATCATATGCCCTCAGACTGAGAGAGAGAGAGAGAGAGAACAAGTTTAAACTTTTTGAATATTTGTTTAAAACATTTTACCGTAAGTGTTTGTTTAGGAAACAAACTTAAAATAATTATTTAAGCAGGTTTAAATATATTTATGTATTATTATTTTTAGTGATTATATTTCAATAATTATTTTATTTAATACTGTACGTTTTTTTTATAAACACAGAGGGAATCATCTGATATGTCATATAGGTAAAATTTAATGATGAATACAGTCGTTGAATATTACTTACGAGTCGTAAGTTACGACAAATGAGATGATTATAATTAATGCCTCTATGTCTATAAAAAAAATATATGTCAAGTTAATATAATATAAATAAATATCTTTAGTTGGTTTTCAAAATTGATAAATTCAAAATAATATTGTGTTTACAATAAACTTTTTATTTCTATAAAACTACAAGTCATTAAAATAATACATTTTTAAATATTTATTTTAAATAAATTTCTGCCGATTAATCACAAAATCTCCAATAATTTCGGGCAGTTTTGCGATACTATTATCCGATTGTATTCTTTGCGATATTTGCTGTAACTTTTCATAATTTTCCGTATCGTTCAATAGGTTTTCGATTGCATTCAATAACTCCTCTTCGGAGCACTTGTAGGCATCGAGTCGTATACCAAACCCCTTGTCCTCCACTCTCTGTGCGTTATCGTATTGATCACCAAATAGTGGCATAACTATCATAGGTTTACCAAAATAGAAACTCTCGGTGACAGTATTGTTGCCGCCGTGGGTTAGCACCAAATCAACTAACGGTAAGACTTGGATCTGAGGGACAGACCCCTCGCCCCACATATTGTCAGCCAATGAGTACTCGTCATAAAGCGGTCCTTTCGATACAATAAACCTGTGCTTAGATTTGGACAAAATATTCACTAATCTCTTCATATTGTCCACATCTGCCGCACCCATAGATCCCAATGAAAAGTATATCAGTTTTCCCGGTCTGTCTCTCAACGGCACCGGTATCTCAAATTTCAAATGAATATCTTTTCGCATGAAATTATCAAAACGAATACAATTCTTAGGCAATGGTCTGATATCGAGATAATCTAAATCTAAAGGAAAGGCGTATAAAATCAGACAATCAGTGGTTTGAATGAAACTAAGAATAAAGTTCAATGTCAATTGGTAAAAGGCCCAACATTTTATATTAAATTTTTTTTGTTGTTTTTAATTTCCGAAATTAATTATCATTGTGGGCATAATTGAAATTGATATAAATGATGTACAGTAATTAAGACAATAAATATAAATACCGTGCATAACTTTTACTAAATTTCTTAATTTTGATATAACTTTTACACATTATGTCAGATTTAGGAAATTCCTTCAGATTTCAAATCCTCTCATCCATACCTTTCCATTGATATATAATATGATATAATTATTCATAAGATACAATATTTGGCATTCAAATTTTTCCCGATAAAAGTGGTCACTACGGCCAAACCCGAAGTCGTCTGGCCAAATAAAATATACCACACTACTTCCTACAGAGTGTACTTTCGATTGATAACAATAATTCCCGAGTGCACTCTGGGCCTAATATGAACATTGTCTTTTAGGCAATGGTTGACAGCCTTTAGAGACTACATAAGCGTTGTATTGTTTCCACGGCTCGAGTGTTGTATTTCTCTTTACTTCACGAAACTCTTTCCACGACTTATTATTCCCAAAAGCGGACAAACCTTTAATTGTAAGAAACATTTCAACTGATTTTAAGTTTCAAATATTATAATTCAATTTAAATGTGCATAATTTTATTGTGCATTATTATAATATACGTAATTGTAATTATTATTAACCTGAACTGGCTGGAGGTGCCCGATCATCATCGACCAAATATAGAGGTCCATTACTACAGGTCCATACATAGGGTATACCTGAACGCATCACTGATGGCAACGACATTAACTGATCAAATACTATAACATCGGGCGCTATTTCAGGCAGCAATTGAGCTATTTGTTGGTCTAAACGTTTAATGCCATCGATCCGATCCGTACCGCCCGCCCCTTTCGTGGCTGCCTTTTCCAGTGCCGACTTCGGCCCTATTTTGCCCGCTTTTACCATATATTTGGCTATAGTTTTGGCGTCCGGTTGTGGGGACTCGTCGTCCCCTTTCGGTAATACTAGCTCTTGAATGCCGTGAGCGCTAAGCCGTCCCTTCCAGCTCTCAGTGATGGCCACTATAGCCTTGTGTCCGTCCCTTACGAGTGCACTCGCAATACCGACGCAGGAGTTGATCTGACCCTCACCCATCATCGGTATAAATAACACGGTCAATATTGTGGCCATCTTGTTTTAACATGTACTGTACAGTATTTAATTAGTGTAAAATGTGTTTTTACTGTTTACCACTCTGTGATAATATGATATGTAAAATATGTAAAATTATTAAAAATATTTATTATTTATCTATTTATAAAAGTTTATAAAACAAGTGCAATCAAAAATAAGTATAATCATGATGATTTTACAATATATAATTAGTTTAGTATAACGTGTATGAGTTTTATATAAATGAATATTAAGTCTTAAATTTAAGTTTTATTTAACATTTTTGAATAATAATTTTAAATACATATTTCTGACAATTAATCACATAATCTTTAATAATTTTAAAAATTCAGAGTTATATTTATATACTTCAGATATTGTTAAATACTTAAATTGTAATACATATATGTTTGCGGATGATGTCTGTTTTCTTAAAGTAATTTATAATGAAAGTGATTGTATATCACTTCAAAATGATTTATCAAATATGTATAAATTTTGTGTTGAAAATTCTCTAAAATTAAATATAAACAAATGTGAAGTTTTAAAAATCTCGTTCAAAACTCCCATAGATTTTAATTATGAAATAAATGATTGTGTTTTGAATAATGTTGTTAATCACAAAAATATTGGAGTCATATATGATTGTAAAATGTCTTTCAACTGTCATTTTGATTATATAATAGAAAAATCTTTAAAAAAGTTTGGTTTACTGAAAGTTCTATGCAATCGTGTAAATGGGTTAACATTTCTTAGACTCTATATAACATATATTCTCCCTATTCTGGAGTTCTGTACCCTTTCTGTGATACCAAATACTACACAATCATTAAGATTAGAATCAGTGCAACGAAAAGTCACAAAATATATTGCTTATAAAATAAATGCAAACAATCTTTCATATGAAGAGAGATTAAAATTATTAAAAATATATTCATTAGAAAAGCGCAGAAATTTAAAAATATTAAAAATTGTATTTAAAATTAGATATAAATTATATGAATACTCGACTAAATGGTCAAATGAATTGTCCTTTTATACCACATCGAGAAACGGTGTATTTTGTGACATATCGTTGCATAAAACTATATGCGATAAAAGCTTTTTTATATATTCATCAAAATTGTATAATAATTTGCCCAAAAATATTCGATGTATAGAAAATTATAATCAATATAACTAAGAAATTTGTAAATTGGGGGACAAATACGTGTAGAGTGCTATGCTTTCCCCCAACTATATAGCAACTATATAGCACTAACGCTAATACACCGATAAACTTTTAGTGCGCATGCGCGCGCTGTGGACTCGTCAATTTGTAAAGGAAATCAATTTATTATATTAATACTAATGTATTTGTTTAAAACATGTTTTTAAATTCAATAAACTATTATTATTATTATTATTATTATAGATTGTTCATAACATACAATATTAAAATTGTATAATGTATAATTTATTATAGATAATAATTATTATTAAGTCTCGAGTTAAACAAGACAAGTAAATACAATAAAATTTAAATTGTATTTTCATTAATAAAGTTTTGCTTCAAATGATGATAATTCTTATACTGGGATTCAACCCATGGCTAAAATAAAATCAGTTATTAATTAATAAAATGATTTTTAAATAAAGTATATTTCATACCAATTGTTTCCTAATATCATAGGGAATGTCGGGAATCATTGATTCATCGGATTTAATAGTAATCAATACCATAAACATACACGAAACCAATGAAAACACTTTCGTCTCCTTTAATATATGTTTATAACTGTTTCTCTCGTCCTCTTTGAATGCCTTTCCTCTTAAACGAACCGATTCTTCAATATATGAATCAATAAACGGCTTAATAGTGTGATCGTCGGGAAACTCATGTAATGTAATATCAATCCAATGTCGACCCCATTCGGCGAATAGTGTCCCAAAATCTATGCCCCGATTACTATATGCTGAGTACTCGTAGTCTATAATTACCAAACCATCGGATTCTGTAACCAGAATATTGTTTCCCCTGAAATCCATATGACTAAACATCACCGGAGAGTCGGTCGCTATAATTGTTTTCTTAAGCCATTGTAACTCATTCTTCAGGTCATACTTCTTCAATGTCTCGCAATTGCATTCATCGATCAATGATTTTAAATCAAATAAATTATTTGCTTTATTGTAAAAATCATCTAATATTTTAAACACAAAACTTCCCGTCTTTTTTATGGGGACATCCATTGCGTGAATGTTTGCCAACTTTTTGGACACTTCTTTGACAAGTTTCACATTGTTTTGCTCTTCAGTCCTAAACACAGTGTGCTATGAGTTAATGGAGAATATGATTTATCAAAATTAGTTGATTAAAAAAATTTTGAAAAAAGTAATTACTTTATAATATTTCAAAATCTGTCCGCTTTCGAAGAGTCCGTATATTTTTGGCCCCAATTTATGTTTGGCGACCAAAACGCCAATAATTATTTCGTTTAATCTTTCGTTGTTATCATTTCCATTGGTTAAGTGTTTGTCTCCGTATAATCTGATGGCCACCTCTTGTGGCACATTTCCGGCACTCTGTCTCTGGGCTTCATTGAGAGCGCAATAATACAACTGATTAGTGAGACCACCGCTCAGACGCTTCACTTCAATGTCATCGACGGTTGCCTTAAGCCAAACGCCTCCCAAATAGTCACGACATAAATCAAAACATTGTTGCTTTATATGATTGGGAGTTAAACCCCGTTTCAGTTCTAAACCATTGACGGAAATGTAGACGTGATTCTCTTCGTCCACAAGTTATCTTCTATTCTTCTGAGTCTTACCACCGATTGTCCTTTAATTAGCGGCAAATCTATCGATTCTAATACTGAAAGTATAAGAATTTAGGACCAAATGACACGAAACGCACTCTTTTGGCCACAATTATCACAACAACTGATTCTTCCTTCAAATGCTTAGCCTTTAAGACACGAAGAACTCGAAACAGAAGCAGTTCCAGAGGAATAACGTCTTATTATAGCTCTGAATCACAAAATACAACGAATTTAATCTTAAAACTCAATGTATTCTCAATTCAAACGCATTTGAATTGAATTTCAAATCTATTATTACTTTAATTAAAAACACTTTAATTTAGTCTTATTATAGCTCTGAATCACAAAATACAACGAATTTAATCTTAAAACTCAATGTATTCTCAATTCAAACGCATTTGAATTGAATTTCAAATCTATTATTACTTTAATTAAAAACACTTTAATTTAAAATAACAAAACTTTTATTATATTCTTTAAAAACAAGACAATTATTTTAAATCCTTATAAAATTAATTGTAATTAAATTCAATACAAATTCACAATCAAATCAAGCCTTAGAAATGAGTGAATAGGGAGTCGACTGTTCACTAATGGTGTCTAACAAAGACTGACTCTTTTCAGTGCAAACTAGTGGTCAGTTTGGGTCAAGTATTCAAAAATAGTCGTTAATAAAGAAAGTTTAAAATTATTGGTCAATTCAAATGACCAAACAGTATGTGTTGTGTTTTATATGAGAGACATCTATTGGTGAGTATAATATTTATAATAAACTTTTAATTAACTTAATAACTAATTATAAGTGTTTTTTAACTATTAGGCAATTACTCCTACAGAAATATTGCCATTTGTAGTAATTTCATCCATGTCTTATTATTATACAATTTATCTTTATTAATTTTGTGTTTTTGTTTTGCTGACATATTTATAGTATTTCAAATGTTTAGTGCATTAAGAATATAGTATTCCTAATATACTTAACTCTTTTACTCATGAAGGTCTTATTGTACAATACATGAAATCTTAGCAATTGTTAAATTTAACTTTAATTGTATGCCTGTTTATTGAATAATAAGTGCATATAATGTGTACAAAATGTGATATTTGTAATCATTTATCAATTACTATAACTTTAACTGCAAAAATTAATAATCTGAATTAGTTAATTTATTTTTAGTTGGGATTTATATAATTTACAATATTAAAAATTTTAATTGATAATAATATGCTAGATATGTAATATCAACTAAACAACTTGAAAAATTGGTAACATTTAGATC